TACTGGGAAACCTTCATGATTGTACCCCACGTCATTTGTTATATATGTGGATATTTGGGGAAAGCTGCTGTCAGGGACCTCTGAAAATGCTGAAGAGACTTAGTCTGTACACTAAGGTGCACCTGATTCAAGCCATGGTCTTCGCATTTACTTGCTGTGCATCAGAGAGCTGGACAATGACCAAAAATGACAGAAGAATAATTGATGGTTTTGAGTTGTGGTGCTGAGGAAGAATGTTAAACATACCATGGACTGTGAAGAGAACAAACAAATTTATCCTGGGGAGAGTGAAACCAGACTCTTCCTTGGAGGCATGGATTTTAAAGGTCTGTCTCACATACTTTGGGCTTGTGGCCAGGAGGGACCAGTCCCTGGAGAAGAACATCATACTTGGAGGGGTGGAGGGACAACCCAGGAGAAGAAGATCCTGGATGAGATGGATTGACACAGTAACTAGGGTAATGGGTCTAGGTGTGTCAGAGACATTGAGATTGGCTTAAGATAGGGCAGGGTTCAGAGGTATTGTACTTAGGGTTGCCATGAGTCACAGGTGACATGAGGGCACATAACAACAACAACATATGCAGTGCATACAGGTGTGTGTATACCCTTGTCTCTGTAGCTTTGGTGGCCTAGTGGTAAGGAGCTGTGCTATCAGCCCAAAATGGCATACTTAAAATTCACCAGCTGCTCTATCAGAGAATGATGGTCAGTCTTACCCCATGCTCTGAAAATCCGCTGAAAGATCAGCTCTGTGTTGGTTCTGACTCCATAACATTTAACAATGACAGTATGTACTTATGAGCATTTACTTGTGTATACCTTTTTATAGACACTGCATAAATTTTCTATGCATTGGGAAGGTCTGCTGTCACTGACCTCTCCAAAATACTGAAGAGCAACTATGTCAGTCTGGAGACTAAGGTGCTGCTGATACAGGCCATGATCTTTGCTACTACTTGCTATGTATGCATCAGAGAGTTGGACAATGACTTGGGAGGATAGAAGGAGAATTGATGCCTTTGAGCTGTGGTGCTGGAGAAGAGTGTTGAATGTACCATGGACTGCCAAGAAAACAAACAGATTTATCCTGGAGAGGGTTAAACCGGACTGCTCCTTGGAGGCAAAGATTCTGACGTTTCATCTGACATACTGTGGACATGTTGCAAGGCAGGATCAGTCTTTGGAGAAGGACGTTATTCTTGGGAGGGTAGAGAGACAGTGCTAGAGAAGAAGACTCTCGTTGAGGTAGATTGATGTAGATTGATGCAGCAACTGGAGTAATGAGGGTAGGTGTGTTCGAGACAATAAGATTGTCACGGGATAGAGCAGGGTTTAGGGCTGTTGTACATAGGGTCGCTATGACTTGGGGGGGACTCGATAGCACATAACAACAACATGTAACCGCATGTATTTCTTGGTTGTTACTACTGCTGCAAAATTGTATATGTTATGAAATTGTTTCTTTCTCTTTCATACTTCTCAGTACCTTTATTTACCTTGATGAAGTGCTAACTTCACCCATATTTGGCCTTTCCCCTCCTTAGTGTACTGGCTAGTGTACTATCTAGAAAATAATTTCCTCTCCTTTTCCCTCCTACCCTGGTTACCATCAGAGAACTTTGTTTTCTATGTGTATATCTGTTCTTGACTTGCTACAATAATAAGGCTATAAAATATTTGTCCTTTTGTAATTAATTTCACTCAGCAGTATGCCCTCAGATTCATCCATATTATGAATCTCTCCTCATTATTCTTTACATTTGCTTTGTATCACATTGTGCGTATGTATTACAGTTTGTTTACCATTCATCAATGGGCACTTTGGTTATATCCATCGTTTTGCCATTGTGATTTAGTGCTGCAGTGAACATTGAAACTCATATGTCTTTGTGACACTGCTTTTATACTTCTGGGATACGTACCAAGGGCTAGCATTATTGAATCAGAAGGTATTTGTATTTCTAGCATTATGAAATGACAATGTTTTCCATAGTAGTTTTATCATTTTGCAAGCTTAATCAATGCCTCTCACTCACTCTCATTCCCATTCTTGTGTCTCTTAAAGTATCTCCTTTCTCAGCCTATTTTTTAAACTTGTTTAGCATAATAGATACATAAATAAAAATTAACTTATATATTCAACACCTTTATTTAAACATTTAGATTACATGTCTTTGCAATTACTTGCTATGCATCAGAGAGCTGGATAATGATTAGGGATGATAGGAGAGTTGATTGATGCCTCTGGGCTTTGGTGCTGGAGCAGAGTATTGAATATACCATGGACTGCTAGGAGAACAAGCAAGTTCGTCCCTAGTGAGGGTGAAGCCAGGCTGCTCCTTGGAGGCAAGGATTCTGAAGCCCCATCTGACATATTTTGGACATGTTGCAAGGTGGGATCAGTCCTTGGAGGACTTCATGCTCAGGGGGGTGGAGGGGACAGCACAGGAGAGGAAGACCCTCAATGAGATGGATTGATTCAATCACTGGGGTAATGGAGATAGGTGTGTCAGAGACAATAAGATTGACAAGGGATAGAGCAGGGTTTAGGGCTGTTGTATATAGGGTCACTATGAGTCGCAGGTGACTCGATGGCACATAACAACAGCAACATATCCTTTGAATATAAACTTTAATTTAGGCAACACCTGGTAAATTTCCCCCACAGTTGAGTATATGGCTTATAACAAGCATAAATGTGACTCTATCTCTGGTTAAAAAGAAAATGTTAATTTTGTAATGTTGATGTTTGTGAATATTCCATGTTTTCTTCTGATAAATCCAGACTTCTGTGCTTTCTAAATAGAATAATTAAAAATATTTAATTCAAGATGTGAATTTTCTGAAATCTCATCAACTCCTTATTTATTTTCATATATTGTAATTTGTGACTATAAACCTGATTTTGATTCTGAAATTGTGTTTCTTTAAATATATATTAGCTGTCTACTAAGTGTCCTATAATGTGTTACATATAGAGGCATAAAAGCAGTGATATCCTAGTCCTTTTTCTTTAGGAAACTGTCTCAAGAACTTAGTGATTATGAAACTTTTAAAGAAATTTCGTTGATTTTAGAAATTCCCTTCAAAATTAAACCACTGACCTTCCATATCTTAGAACTTAATATTACCCACCCCTTTTTTTTTAATCTCTGCCTTGCCTTGGATGCTTCGGTAGCATGCACTGTTAATACATTTCTGTACTAGTTAATGCACTAGCATGTGTTTCTGTTAAAAGCTGTGATTGTCATGATTAAAGATTAACTTTAGTTCACTGTACCGTTAATCTCTTCATGAGAAGAGATAAAAAGGAGACAAGCTTATAAGCATCCAAAGGAAGAGAATCATCCTAGAAGTCTGTTAGGTTCATAAAAATATTTCCATTTGGCTAAAATAATTAATCTGTATTCATTGGAAGTTGATAGCATCACAAAGTTATTATAATAATAATGATTTTACACTGTTTGGTTACTTGCTAGTAAGTGGCCAGAATTTGTACACTTAAAAAAATGTACTTATGAAAAAAAAAATTGTACTTATGACATTGAATACAGATTTTAACAATTTTGTTTCTAACGAGGGACACTCTGGTAATATGGTCCCTAGAGAATTATACTGCTGTCCCAAGGTCATACCTCTTTGCCAGTTTGAATCCACCAGCAGTTCTGAAAGAGAAAGATGGGCAGCTTCCTCCCATGAGACTTACAGCCTCAGAAACCCAGTGGAGGGTCAGCTGTGTGTCAGTTCTGACTCAACAGCTGTGAGATTCCTCAAGAGAGGGGAACAAACCGCAAATAATTTCTTAAAGGTATTGTTTAAATATGCAGTGTATTTTAACAATGTAGTGTTAACATTTTCTTTGCTCTTAGATGTTTTACTCACTGTTTGGAGAACTTAATTCAGATTTAAATGGAGAATTACTTGGCAATATGTAGCTATGCTGGGTTGGTGATACAGTGAGATGTTACGGCATCCATCCATCTTTCTTAATTATAGGTTTTAGAATGTTAAAGGATAGGCATGAAAGACAGACTAGAATTCCTGTATATCCTTAAAATATTTTCTGAATGCAGAATTATTTCTTATTTTGAAAGTTAATGAAAATTATAGCCAATAGAGAATCAAGTAACATTTAAGGAGATCTTCACTTTAGTTAGTAATTAAGGAATAAATACTAAATTAATATTTACACTTATAAATATTCTCCATTTAGAATTAATCATAATGATTAAAACAAGTTTTTAAAAAATATAGCAATTTCAAGTAAAAATATTTTTTAAAGTCTTACTGTAAAATATTTCAAATATAAAAAACGTGTAAGGAACACCTATCTTTAGAAATCATTACTTAAATAATTAAAACCTACTTGTGCCCCTCCCACCGTCTATTCCCCAGTCACTTGCCCTCAGGATAGTGATTATCCTAAACTTGATATTTATCATTCCTTTAATCGATTTTTATTATTAATATTCTTGTAAATGCTTTAAAGTCAAAGGAAAAAAAAGAAATATTTTTAAATATAATTTCTACTTTCAGTTGCTCGTATTGTTTGTATAATTTAGGAGCTATTACAAAGCACAGTCTTTTTTAGAGTGCTCTGTTTGAATATGATGCTTTTTTTGCTTATTAACATCAAAATTTCCTAAGATTTGAGATCTGCTAACGGAATACTATAATTTTGGTTAGTTAAGTATCAGATTATAGAGTATAATTTGAAATCTGAGGACACCACAATATATTAATTAAATCATAGCAATAAATTTTTATTCAAATTGACTCCTTTTTCTTAGCAATAACAATAATGAATTTCAAATGATAGTAGTAATTAATAGTTACTTTCCTAAAGTTGCTTACAGCTTTTTCTGTTTTAATCATTATGGCATAGTTTGCTTTGCAGTGCTTGAAATCCCATATTGTCTTTGTGATATTTTTATACCTATGTGATTTTATTAAATTGTACTTTAAAGAAAGTGATTCTTTTTTTTTCATTTCTGCAGATGATCATCTGGTTGGAGAAGATGCTAGACAAAATAATTAGCATTTTCATCATATTTTTGTTAGTTATAGGAACCCTTCTTTTAGCCCTGCTCCTGACTGCAAAGGTAAAGTTAATAACTTATTTTTTCAGCTCAACATTTCATTGCCATCAAGTTGGAACTTACTCAAAGCTTATCCTTCTTTGGGTTTCTGAGACTGTAAACTACATGAGAAGAGACTGCCCCTCTTTCTCTTGTGGAGGGAGCTACTAGTGGATTTGAACCACCAGAGAGGCGTGACTGTTGGGTTAGCAGTGCAGTGCCTTATAGGCTAGACCACCAACACTCTGGTCTCTTGTTAGAATTGTCAAAAGGTGGCAGAAGCAGCATGGAAAATGAGTATATGTATAATAGAACGATTACTTATGGTTTCCGTATTAATAATTCTCTTTTACATTTGCCTGGCACATCTTCAGGCCTCTTTTACTAATTTCAAAATCCTCAGGAGTAAATGCAGATGAATAAGAGATAGCTGAGGTGGTTTTCCTCTGGTCTTTCTCTCACTCCAGACCAAGGAATCCCACCTGGGAGCCCCCTTAATAAAGCTTCGTTTAACAACAAAAAAAAGCGAGATAGGTGAATATATTTTTAAAAAAATAACTAGGAGAAGAGAGTGGGAGGGAAGAAAATGTGTAACAGTGAATAAATGAAAATCCAACTTTTCTGTAAACTTTAATTAAAATCACAATTAAAAGAAATAATTTTATTTTTTAA